ATATACATATACATATACATATTTTCCCCTTCTTTCTTTCTTTTCTCTTTTCTCTCATCCCAGTTGTTCTTTGGCTATACATGATACATTTTAGAAGTCCAGTGCACTATCTATTGTGCAACAAATATTTTACATTTTAGATCTACAATCTATTTTGAGATAATCTTTGTGTAAGGACTAAGGATTACATTAAGGTTCACTGTTTGCATATGAATGTCCAATTATTCCAGCATCATTTATTGAAGAGACTATCCTCTCTCTATTGAATGATGTTTGCACCACAGAACAATTTCTGGACTGTCTATGGTGTTTTAATGACCAGTGAGTTTTCCCAATAACCAATGTGTCATGATGACTGCAACTGTGTGGTAAGTTGTAACATAGGGCAAGGTGATTCTTTCAACTGTATTTTTTGCGAAATATTTTTGGCAAATATACTACTTTTGTCTTTTTATATAAGTTATAGAATTAGCTTATCTATACTGACACAAATCAAGTTTATATTTTTATTGGTACTGCATTAAATCTGTATAGTGAGAATAGACATAAACATAGTGTTTACTCTGCTGAATCTTATAGTCCATAAACATAATGTGCTTCTACATTTAAGTCTTCTTTGCTTTTGTCAAAGAAAAATGTTTATTTTCTTTTCTACATTTCACTGTACAAGCATTATACATGTCTTATTAGATGTGTACCTAAATTTTTAATTTTTAGGGAAATTTTAAACAGTATTTTAAAATTTTTTGTTTCCAGGAATTCTTGACTTTTGTGTGTTGTGTATTCTACAACCTTGCTAAACTCAGTTATTAATTATGGGAGGATGTTTTGTTTTTTTAAAGATTTCTGAGTTTTCTACATTGACAATAATATCTGGAAATAGAGACAGTGTTGCTTCTTTCTTTCTAGTGTATGCTTTTTTAATACTGCATTATCATACTGGCTAAGACTTTCAGTACAATGGGAGTGGTTAGAATAGACATCCTTGCTTTGTTTCCAGTCCTAGAGGGGAAGCATTTTTTTTACTACTATGGATTGTGTTGGCTATAAGTTTTTTGTAGGTACTCTTTATCAGGCTGAGAAAATTATCTTCTCCTTCTAGTTGGCTGGGAGTTTTTATCATTAGTTGATGATGTATTTTGTCAAATGCTTTCATTTGCATCAATTGATACAATCACGTCATTTTTCTTCTTTAGCCTATCATGGACTACAATATCATGGACTACGGAGATTTATTGTCAAACATTAAATGAGCCTGGTAAATCACACTTGGTTATGGTACATTCTTCTTATATATTGATTTTTTTTGTCTTTTTGAGACAGGGTCTTGCTATGCAGTTCAGGATGGCCTTGAGCTCACTTTGTAGCCCAGGCTGTCTCAAACTTGCAACAGTCCTCCTGCCTCAGCCTCCCAAGTACTGGGATTACAGGCATGTGCCACCACACCCAGATATACTGATGTATTCTATTTGCTGATGTTTTTTGAGAATGAACATGCCTGGTTCATGAAGGATATTGACTTGTAGTTCTCTTCAGTGTACTATCTTTGTCTGCTTTTGGTACTGGATAATACTGACTTTTTTTAATGAATTGGAAAGTGTTCAAAATTTTTTATTTTCTGGAAGAGATTTGCAGAATTGGTTTTATTTCTCCTTTAAATACTGATAAAATTCACCAGTGAAACAATCTGAAACCAGGTATTTCTTTACTGTTGGAATTTTTTAATTATGGTAAAATGAATCTTAAAATTTACTTTTTCACTTGGATTGAAGTATACAATTCAGTGGCATTGAGTACATTCACAATGTTGTATGACCATCACCACTATCTAGTTCCAGTACATTTCAATCACCCCAAAAGCAATCCTATGCTCATTAGGGTCACCTCTCTTCCTCTTCTATTACCAGGCCCTGCAACCACTAATCTATTTTGTTTTAAAAGATTTACTTATTCTGAGCATTTCATATAAATTGGACTGTATACTATGTGACCCTTTATGTCTGACTTCTTCACTTACTATTTTCTAGGTATATCCACATTATAGAATGTACCAGTAATTTATTTCTTTGTATGGCTGAATAATATTCATTGGATGGATGCACTTCATCTTGTTTATCCCCTCATTATTTGGCAGACATTTGGGTTGTTTCGACCTGTTAGCTATTTTGAAGCACTGTGTTATGAGCATGCAGCTGCCTGTTTTTAATGCCTCTTATCAGTTCTTTGGAGACTATACCTAGGAATTGCTAGGTCATATGGTAATTCTGTGTTTAAAAGTTGGAAGGACTACCAAAGTGTTTTCCAAAGCAGTTGTACCTAAATTAGTGTCATACATTCTAACCAGTACTGTATTGAGGGTTAGACTTTCTCCATAATCCTGCCGATATTTGTACTTTTCTTATTTTAAAAAATTATAACCATCGTAGTGTGAAGTGTGAAGTGTGGAGTGCTGTCTCATTTTGGTTTTGATTTGCATTTCCTTAATATCTAATTCTTTTCATGTGCTTGCTGAACATTTGAATTACTTTTCTTTGGAGACATGTCTACACAGATCTTTTGCATATTTTAAAATTGGAATATATATCTTTTAAATTATTGAGTTACAAGATTTGTTTACATATTTCAGACATAAATCACTTATATGATTTGCAAACATTTTCTCCCATTTTGAGTGCTATCTCTTTTACTTTTTTGAAGTTATTGTTTGAAGTTCAAAAGTTTGGCATAATATTCAGGGAACCATTGCCAAATCAATGTTATGAAAAAAATTTTTAATTTAATCTTGTATTGTCTTTTTATTTTTTATAGTTTCACCTCTTGATCCAATTTTGTGATCCATTTTGTATATGGTGAACTGGTCCAATTTCATTATTTTGCATGTGGATGGCCAGCTGTTCCAGCACTATGAACAAACTATTCTTTACTCTGTTTAATGGCCTTGTCAAAAATCAACTGACCACAAATTTAGGGGTTTATTTCTGGACTCTCAACTCCATTCCACTGATCTCTATGTCAATCCTTATGGCAATACCACAGTATTTTGATTATAGGTTTGTTGTACTCTGGCTCACTCTTTCTTTCTTTCTTTCTTTCTTTCTTTCTTTCTTTCTTTCTTTCTTTCTTTTTCTTTCTTCCTTTCTTTTTTTAGATATGGTCTTGCTATGCAGTCCAGACTGGCCTTGAACTCATGGTGATCCTCCTGCCTCAGCCTTCCAAGTGCTGGGTTTACAAATGTGCACCACCACACCAGGTTCAGCATTATATATCCTTTCCTGTCCTTATACTTCTAACCTACCTGTATTATTATTTTTAATTGAGTTTCTTCTAAAAAAATACAATAACTTCATGCTTTTTTTTCATCCCGGGTTCTAAGCTCTATTTTTAGTAACAGTGATACCTCAGTTGTTGAACTCAATTCACTCCAAATTCGGGTTTGAACACCAAAAAGTTCAAGAACTGAACATATTTTTTCCCATAGGAAATAACAGAAAACCAAATAATTTGTTCTGAGGCCAAAAAATTATACTTATAAATTCATTTTTCCAGGACTTTACCAAATTTCACAATAATTTCTTCCTTCAACTTTATTGTAATTCTCAGTTTTCCTCTTAGCTTTATTGCTGATATCATTAACTTTCTTTGGAGCCATAGTTATGATAGTTTATGCAAATAAAGCATAAAAGAAAAGCACAATGAGGAAAGTTTAATGCACTAAAACAAGTACTATATGTTGTCTGGGACAGAGCGGTGCTTAGACTGAAACGTCACCGTTCGTGTCCCTGGCAAGATGCTATGTGTGACTTACTCTTGGGCAAACAGGTTTTTTGAAGTCAGATTTTTAGTTTGACTACCAAGCGAAGTGAGGAACACTGAGACAATGTTTTTCAAATTTTGCTGTTCCGGTAGTAGAAAGTTCGAGCTTGGAGTCATTTGACAATCAAGGTATCACTGTAGTGAGTTTAGATGATTTGCATCTAATAGAATTATTGACATGTTTAGACATAAGCCTATCATTTGATTATGCTTTTTTCTCTCTTCTCTCTGATTTTCCCCTTACCAGCATTCTTTTGAGTTAAACATTTTAATTTGCTTATAATAATTTTTGTTCTATTTCTTTGTATAATATTTTATTGGTTGTTCTATGTGCTACAAAATATATTCTTAAGTTTTTACTGTCTATGGAGAATCAATGTTTTGCCATTCATTCATTTGTTCGGAGCAGCTAGAGCTGGAAATCGGTCATATGTGTGGGGGCAGGACAGAACCAGAGTGCCTCCAGCGGTCAAGCTACCTCAGTCTTCAGAAAATCGTCCTGCCTGGACAGTTTCAGACATTAGTAGCTAGGCAACATTGCCTCTCATGACACTGACTTTGGAACGGTATAAATAAACGCCCCTACTATTGTTGTAAAGTTCTCTTGCCCATCAGGTGAGAGGCCTCCACCTGACTGCAGCTTTTGCCTCTTGCCTTTATTTTCTAAATCCCCTTGCTGTTTTCTCCTGGGGCCCACCGAGAGACCACCGAATCCTACATTCATTGGAATGAATTTGAATGGAACCCACATTTCCCTTTACTCTCCTCCCTTTCTGCTTCAGTTGTTTAATCTCTACACACCTGGAAAACTCCATCACAAAATGTTCTCTCAACCATCAAAAATGTTTTAAAGAATTGCATGAGTTGTGGTTCTGGGGTCGGTTCAGTTTTTAAAGTTTCTGTTGTATCACTGTGGTGTCCAATCCACTGCTAACACCCAGTGCTTAGTCTAGTGACTCAGTGGAAGTCTCAGTTCTCAAGGTCTTCGGCGTGCTAATTAGGGTTAGATCCCAGCAGGTACATATTGAGTGGGAATCCAGGAGTTCATGGGCAGCTTTGTAGGTTTACTTTCCTGAGAACTTTTGTCTCTCTTATTGCTCTCAACATTTCAGTTTTGTGAGTTCCCTTTTTGGTTCTCTATCAGAAAACTGCCAAGTGCCACAAATGTACCACATCTAAGGTAAAGCAACAGGACAAAACAGAAAAAAGCAATGGGTTTTTACTTTGACAGCTCAGATCTGCAGCTCTGTTGAGTAGAGAGTAACGCCCCCTCCCTCAGTTTTGGCTCTGCAGGCTTCTCTTGCCAACCACTGTCACTGCCATGGGCATATCTGGGGCTGGGACAGGAGAGTAAGGAGGCAAGGAGCAAAGTGGAGCTTCCCTCAACTGCGAGCACCCGGAGTTACCTTTCCCATCCATGGAACTCTTGCTGCAACATAGTGCTCAATTCAAGTTTCAAGTTGTCTCTTATTCAAGTTGGAGAATACAGGATGTCTTTGCCTATCTGTCTGTCCTACTCACATTTGAGAACTTTCAAAGACCTAAGCTGTGCGTTTTTGTCACATCTTTATTATTGAATTCGGTGGCAGAAAAGAGTAGAGTATGTTTACTCCATCTTACCCGCAGCTAGATCCTCTGTTGACATTTTAATTCAATTCTCTGTCAAGAAATTATTTTGGTTTTAGACTTATTTATTTATTTTGTGTGTGTGTGGGTTTTTTTTTGTTTGTTTTTCTCCGGTACCGGGAACCGAACTCATGACCTTGCGCTTGCCAGGCAGGCGTTTTTTGCCGCTGAGCTAAATCCCCAGCCCGTGACTTATTTATTTTATATATATGTAAATACTTTTGTTTTGATGACTTCATTCACCTTTACATCACATATATAACAGGCTGTGTGGTTTTAGCAATTTGTTATGGATTATGGCTATGAAACTAATCCAAATAAAACTTTACAAACTATAAACTCTTCTAGGCTCCTTCGTCTCTTTATGATTTTGAAGCATATTCATCATCATTATTCAGAAAGGTATGGTGGTTTATGTTCATAAATTCTCTTTTTTGAGAGAGTTCACACTCTGCTACATCTCCAGCCCTTTTAAATTCTTAAAAGATATTTTGAGATCTGTTAAATTACCAAGTTGCCCAGGATGGGTTCAAACTTGCAGTCCTTCTGCTGCAGCCTCCTAGAATGCTGGGATTACAGACATATGCCGCCATACCCAGCCCATGTTTACAAATTCTTTGCTTATCCTCCATAGGTTGAAGGCTGAGTCCCCTTCTACAGACTAGCATTAGTGATCTGTTCTAGTTGAATGCAACAGAAGTGATACTGTGTGATTTCTGAGGCTGCATTAGAGAAAGTTATATAAAAGTCTAGGAACCCTATAGCATCTATGCTGGAGCAATGGTGTGGAGAGCTGACCAACTGTTTGAGTTTTTCAAACCCAGGTGACAGATATGTTAAGAAAGTCACCTTTGAGATGATTTCAGCCCTGACCTTTAAACAGACTCATGCAACATCCAGAGACAAGACACTTTCAAATTCCATGGGACCCACAAAATTATAAGACATAATAAATTATTGGCTTTCTAGCCACTAAATAGTGGGGCTCCTCACAGTAGACAACTGGAACAAAAATGTTGCAGTAAAGCTGACTCCACCCCACAAAATAGGGTTAAAATCAAATTATGTAAAGTTTACTTCCTAGATTTTGCTATTAATCTATAAATTTAAAAGAGACTTAAGTAAAATTAAGATTATTTTTAGAATAACAAGTTATAAATTAGTGCTTACTTTCTTCAGGTTTTTATACAATTTCGGCTTACAAATAGCACATTAGCCAATCTATGTGCCACTGATCATGTACTTGAATGTTTTTACATCCATGAAGCTTTCAAGGAACATAGCTCAAAATATGCAAAAGGTAAAAGACAATGGAAATCACGACTGAGACAGCCTACAGATTTGAAGCGGAAAATAGCAATTCTTTGCAAACAGACATCTATTCCTGACCTTGGCTGCTCTTGAGCTCAATTTAGAGTTCACTGGGATTACCCAGGATAGAAATCTGCCCCTTCCATGGGCATAATGCTAGGAGAAAGAAAAGTCTTTCAGAAGAAAGAACATTGCTATCAATAAATCTAGCTGTTTGTACTTCTCTGCTTATTTCATCTCAATCTTACCCTTTCTTATACATACCTTCTTTGCATACCAGTAGAGCCCCAATGAGTCCTGAATTCAGGTCTTTCACCAGATCCACATGAGAAAAATATGAGTAGGTGAGACATTGTGGGTCAGAGGTCATTGGCCCATTCTCTGCTGAGACCTGCCAGACGTAAGTATGGCTCTCACCAGGAAAGACTTTATCATCTTCTTTTTCTCTTTGGCTGGTCTGATCATCATATTCAGCTCCTAAAAGAAAACAGGATAAAATTGTTCTTTCTATGCCCACTGTCCACTCAGAGAAATATTTGAAGCTTATTGTTACCAATGGATTCTCTATAAGAAAGACATTCAGAATTTTGAGTTTTCACCAAAGATGAATATTTGAGGGGACACATTTTTACTCTGATTTAAGCATTCCACCTGTATACATGTATGGAAATATCATGTTACCCTGTTAATATATACCATTTTCATGTTTTACATACTTTAAAAATGAAAGAAATAAATTTAGTTTTTAAAAACACAATGTATAAGTATATCAAAACATGACACCGTACACCAAAAAAATATACAAGTAGAGTTGGGCAGAGTGGTGCACGCCTATAATCCCAATACTCTGGGTGACTGAGGCAGGAGGATCACAAGTTGGAGCCCAGTTTGATCAACTTGTCAACTTAATGAGACCCAGTCTCAAAATAAAAATATAAAACAAGGGTTGGGGATGTAGTTCAGTGTGAAGACCCTGGGTCTTATCCAAAGTACTACCAAAAAAAAAAAAAAAAAAAAAAAA